GTGGGGGAGATTATATTAATAAATATCACGTTTGGTGTGGATTCAATTTAAACTAAAGCAATGTACATCTAAGGAAAGTAAAGCCGATTAAAATATTGATCGTGTAGGTTTTACTCTAAGACTGTATCACGCTTATGACAGCATAGCATTTTTTATATGCCTGGTTTTTGTAGTGTTCTGGTCTGAAAATGGGAAGGTTTTTTTTTTTTTTTTGGTCTTTGTATTGGAACCTACCAATTCCTGAGAAAATGGGAGTTTTTTTATATATGCACGATGCCATAGCTAACTGTCAAAGAAAGATTAAATGGTTTTTGAATCAAAGTTGCACTCAGGCTGCAATTAATTGGCAAACTCCATGCTGGCAGTTGCTAAGGTAATCAAGAAGCAAATTAAAGAAAGAATTGGAAATATCATGACTCATTGTTACGTAAAACAACCATTTGGATTAACCTTAGATGGCCATGCTAATCCTTTTTACATATGGACTTGTTGATTGGGTATTTAAGCAGACAAAATCTTATTCTCCGTGTCTAAGTCTAGTGCGTCAACTAAGTGGCTTCTATGAGCTTAATTTTTCACTTTCTCTTTTCAAAGCATATTGAGTGGAGGGTTAGAGAAATTTTAACACCGATTTTACGCGTAGTAGCCATTGAAGCACACCATTTAAGTGTGTAAAGCTCATTATTTTTTCTAAGTCTGTTATGTCAACTAGTTGGCTGCTATGCTGTACAATCTCCACTTTTCTATTGTTTTACTTTTAGTTCAGTGCGATTCCAATACGTACCTTTAGTTGAACTCTCATCTATCATTTTAAACTTTTTAATTAAGTACTTTTCTCTATGATAATATTAAAGCTTAGGTGTAGTCACCATCTCCTTGTTGAACCCTAACGCTGTAATATTTGGACTGTCTGGACTCTGGATCTCATTTTCCCAATGAAATTAACTAATAATCCTTGTTTCGCTGCAAATCATTCTTTAATTTGAGAACCATGCATTGCAGTCGAAAAGAAATCGAATCTGAAACTAATTATTGATGCATTTAGCTAATTGCATCAATCTGAAAGTAAAAATTTTAAAACTGAGAGAATGCAGAGAGTGTCTTTTGTTAAAGTTTCTTATTTTATTGAAAGTAAAGACATTGGAATTGTAACCAAATGAAAAAGTATAGAGCATAATTCATGAATGAGGTGTTGGTTTACTGATATCCGAAGAACCGTTCCAGTTCATTTTACAAGTTTACATTAATCTTCAGAATGAGTTGATACATTGGTGCATTTACAGGCAATAAATTGAGCCATTTTCATTCTTCCTTGATGAAAACATAAAAATATATACTTAAAATGTGTTTAATAATTTACATTTGTAGAATTATATGTTTAAGAGTTATAATTTTTTACAAATAATTTCATAAATGTTCTTTTTATTTATGTTATATGTAAATTTTTTATGATTAAAGATTTAATAATGAAATAGAGAGAATTATGATGAGTTGAATTTATATATATGTATTAATGTTAAAATTTTGTTTTGATATTATTTTTTATTTTTTATTTTTTTTTTGGTTTTCCACCCGATATCCGGGGCTTCGCCCCGACTAATCCGGACCCAACCCGTGTCGCGCCCCTGGAAATGGTAGATGAATCTCCTAGCAGAGGCTACTGCGTACACAAGGTCTTAAACTCAAGACTTTGCTTAAGTTGGAACAAGCCACTTACCACTTGATGTAACCCTCGTTGGTTTTGTTTTGATATTATTGATATTTATGAGTTTTATAAGATTTTATTTATTTTATATAATTTTCATTCTGTGTATTGAAAAATACCTTATTGGAAGAAATTATAATTTTAAAAGCAAATCGCAGATATCAGAAACATGATGGTTAACTGACGCGGAATCTAAGAGTTTCAGTACCAGGGCTGTTATTTTCCCATCAACCAAAATTGCTCAACAGCCCAAAACCCGACACGGAGTAGCAGTTAGTGCTTTGCTAAAGGTGTCGGCAATTCGTTGAGGGTGTTGAACCATCATGCGATTTTCATCCTGTCCTAATTATTTTGATGTGGCTCCCACGATTATTTCAATTAGGTTTTTTAAAAAATTTATAAATACTCATATAAGTTCTGAATCCAATTTCAGAGTTAAAGGAAGGGTCGGAGAGATTGTCCTTAGACTTTAATTTTTTTCTTTTTTAGTACTAGAGAATTATATTAAAATGTAATTAAATTTTTAAAAAGGATAAAGGGGATCTTTATTGAAAAAATTGATTTTTTATTTTATTTTTGATTCTTTCTTAGATTTTATTATTTAGTTTTATTTTTAACAGATTATTAATTATTTTTAGATTTAAAAACTTTAAAATTTATATTTGTCAAATTTCTTATAAGACTAATCATACTCTTTCTATATGTAATTTGTTAGAATTTAATTAATTAGTAGATTTGTTTTACAGGTTAATCTTTTATTGTAATATTATTGATTAAATATATTATCACTAAATCAATTTGTTTTTCAATGAAATTGATTTCTTTTAGTTTGTTTTCAAAGTTATATCTTTTTATTGTTTATATAAGATGCGAAATATGTAATTAAATAATAAATAAAAATCAAAATATATAATAATTAAACAAATAAAAAACCTTGTTATTCATCATGATATTGTTTTCAATCTTTTACAATTATCATATTTTATTTAAAGGTTTTTATCCTTAATTTTAAAAATCATCTTTTAATTTCTCATTGTTGGTTTAATGTAATTTCTCTCTTCTTCAACACTTAAAACTATACTATAACAATCACTCAGCTGAAGGATATTAATTTAGAACAATTAGAGAATGTGTAATATTCCGGAGAGTTTTTCATCTTATCTGCTGGTTGGATTTTGTAGCTTTCATTTAATTAAGTATTGCAACTTCTATATTTCCATTTCCGTAGTCTTTGGATTATTAAAACTCTGGAACCAAATTCAAGGAGTGTTTTTCAACTTTATTCAAAGATTCTCCACAGCATGCATGGGAACAAAACAGAAGAAAAGACAAATTTTTC